TGCAACACAACACTGGAGGCACTCACTCACCTCTGCCAAGAAATTTGGAAGACAGCTACTTGACCAGCTGAATGGAAGAGGTCCAGCCATACCTGTGCCCATTCCAAAGGTAGGTGACCCAAAAAAAAAAAAAAAAAGCAAAAATCATCTAGTAATATCATTAATATCACAGAATAATTTAAAAACAGTGTAAGAATACATCAACAAGGAACTGCCAGCAATTCAAGCCAGATTCAGAAGAGGACATGGAATGAATATCATTGCTGACTTCAGATGGATCTTGGTTGGAAGTAGAGAATACCAGGAAGATGTTTACTTGTGCTTTATTGACTATGCAAAGGCTTTCGACTGTATAGATCATGACAAACTATGGAGTTAGTTTGTCGTACTGTGGTGGCTTGTGTGTTGTTGTGATTCTGGAAGCTATGCCACTGGCATTATAAATACCAGCAGGGTCAACCACAGTGGGCAGGTTTCAGATGAGCTTCCAGATGAAGACAGACTAGGAAGAAGGAGAGACAAACTACTTGCGAATATTTAGTCACTGAAAATCTTATGAATAGCTGTGGAACACTATCAGCATCAGATTATTGAATACTGAAACATGATGAAGAGCACGAGAATATTGTCAGATATAGTGCCAAAAGATGAGCCCCTCAGGTTGGAAGTCACTCAAAATATGACTGGGGAAGAGCTGCCTCCTCAAAGTAGAGTTGACTGTGATGACGTGAATGAAATAAAGCCCTTGGGATTTTGCTGATGAGGTACAACTCAAAATGAAGAGAAACAGCTGTAAACATTCATTAACAATCGGAACATGGAATGTAAGAAGTATGAATCTAGGAAAATTGGAAAATGTCAAAAATGAAATGGAATATATAAACATTGATATCCTAGGCATTATTTAACTGAAATGGACTGGTGTTGGCCATTTTGAGTCTGACAGTTACATGGTTTATTATGCTGGGAATGACAAATTGAAGAAGAATGACGTCGCATTCATCATCAAAAATAATGTATCAAGAGCAAGAGTAGCGCTGTCTGTGATAGGATAATATCCATATCCATACACCTACAAGGAAGACCAGTTAATA